GCAGCTTTGGAGATATCTAAGCAGGGAAAAAAAAGTCTTGTTAAATAGCTTCTATTTTCTCTTTGAAATAAAAGGCAAAGTTATTGCCTGAGAGTTAAGGAGTTCAGAAGAGAGAATAAAATACACAAGAAGAGTGAAGGTTTACAACAGTCACTGCAGAGAGCGAGACAGAGAAATGTAGTAGTATTTCCAAGCAGTGTGGAAGACTCAGTTGAGGTTGAAGCTAATGTCCATGAATGGACACTGGACCTAAATTCTCCTGGAATGGCCTGAGCGCTGCACAGTAGCAGATAATTGGTTCACCCAGAGTTGGAACCTTGTGAGGCAGCTGCAAAAAAAGGAGAGATGAGTTGGGGAAACAGTGGAATGCTCAACCGTGAAATCTAAGAAAAAAGAGGGAAATGAATATAAAGGTAGGTACTAGTGGAGAAAAAAAGACAGAAATGGACTCGAGGTCCTGATGAAATCGGAGAACAAATATAGTGGGAGAAAAGTGAAATGCTTTACTGATTTTGAAAGTTAGGTGGTTTTAGGTGATGGTAAAGTCCAGAGTATGATTATGGAAACAGGTGGCTGATGGAGAATAGAGAAAAAAGTCACTGAATATGTGGCTACCAAACAACTGACAGGCCAGGGTGGTAGCTGAATGATCCATACAGACAATGACACCATCCAGGATGATGACAAGAGTTGGGACAGAGTGGAAGCCTGACAGCCCAGAGCCAAACTCTAAAGAACAAAGGAGAGTATCCAGTGAGTCAGCAGGATGACAGAAAAGAGGAGGGGAAAAGATGGTATGGCCTAGAATACAGCGTGAGCTACCACAAGAAGGTAGAGACATAATGTCTTGGAAGGAGCACTGGAGAGTGAAGAGGACATCCACCAAATCTCCAACCATGAGGTTATCTTGAGTATGAAAGAAAAACCACCCTCCGTAGAATGGACTCCAGACTCAGAAATATATTGACTGGCTATGGAATTGCACATACGTAAAAGGACAATATATCTAAAGTTCTATATTACAACTTTAAAAAATCAGCTGTACATATTCAAGACAGGATGGATTTGGCTTAAAGAAATTTCACATGAAAAAGTCATAGAGACAGCTTAGCGGTTAAAGTTCAGCGTGCTCCACTTCAGTGGCCTGGGTTTGGTTCCCGGGTGTGCAACCACACCACTTGTATGTTGGTGGCCATGTTATGGTGGCAGCTCACATACAAGAACCAGAAGGACTTACAACTGGAATATACAGCTACATACTGGGGCTTTGGGGAGGGGTGACAAAAAGAGAAGACTGGCAAGAGGTGTTAGCTCAGGGCAAATCTTTCCCAGAAAAAGAAAATAAAGTCACAGAGACTGCAAGCAACCAAGTGCAACTGTCCCCAAAAGTGTCTTGGTCACAATTAACGGAATTATAGGTATGTATTAAATTGAGATAAACACAATTTCCTCTTTACTTTCTAAAATTAGGATTAAATAATTCACATGTACTGCTACTTAAACAAATGTTAATTAGAGGGGAGAAATAATTCCCCTCTTTTACTATGTTTTTAAGCAACTTTTAATCAACAATAAAATTAAATTTAGGCAGGATATAAGTTTTTCTTTGATTAAACTTTAAAAAAAGGAAAAAATCTCAATTACAAAACTTCATTCAACATTATAAATGATGATAATTTGTGATTTTGTTTGTTCTTTAATCAGCTAATAGAGTACTAACAATACGACTTTGCCTGTTGTTCTAGGAGGATTTCTAACTTTTATTAATTAAAAAAAAAGAATGTGTACAGTTTGAAGTAATGAAGTAAAAGAAGGCGCCTTAGGTTGTTTATTTCAATATAATTTTCTTTTCAAAATTCATAAATATTATTTTATTATTGTTTTGATGTTTAAGCAACCAGTTAAAATTGGGAGAAGAAAAAATAAACAAAATAGCCTCAGACTTTCCTCCATTTACTTCCTCTTGAGGGAGTATAGCATTATATTAGGTTTTATGTAATACGTTTATAAAAATTAAATGCCCAAATTTTAATATAGACTATCTCTTAAAACAGAAAATATTCTTTTAGATGCTTAAAAGAAACTACAAACATTCTGTGAGTCCTTTTGACTTGCTCTGTCATCACTACGATGAAACCCTTCCTTGACTATCAGAAGCTTTAGGCATATTGGTAAGCATTAATGCAAATCCAGGGTATGTTCCTGTCTTTCTGTTTTCGTATTACCAAACCTAACCAGGCATACTGTGGCTCTCCAATTCAGAAAGTACTCATACTATATAAGCTGAGACTTTTGCAACCATATATTCTAAAGGACTCATTGAGCCCTGAAAGGCAAATGCTATCATTCAAGTTCTAATTACATGCTACCTGGGTTTTACAGAACGGAAAAAAATGAATACTGTTCTTCCTAAATACATTTTCTGACCACAAGCAACTTCCAAAATAAATGCCCAAAATATTTTCTGAATGTATCACTGTAAAAATAGCTCAAGCACTGGCCTATTCAAATTATGTTCTAGTTTCTCCTTATGCTGCTTCTACTTGATAAATTGGTCAATAAATGCCAAGTCAAATATTCAAGTAAATATATTTTCATTGTTATTGGCAGACAAATAATTAAGTCTGAGAATAAAAGAAACAAGAAATCAATTTATGACGACTTCTTCAGTTCCTCCCATTAGTCATTTACAACTGTGGTCCCACTTTTAAGATCTTTATACAGACACACACACACACACACAATTTCGACTATAAATCAAATTATTCCAATTACAAATTAGTATTGTATGAACTGTGAACCTCATATGCTAATTTTATTAGTAAGATACAATTGTATTATTACTCATGTATATGAGCTGATTAAAAAGCAATGCACATTTATGAGCCTATATTAATTAGTACTTTCAGCAAATGTTTCTAAACAATGTTAGGGATTTGCTCTGTCTTCTCTCCAGTATAAATATTTGAATCTACATTTTTTATGTATGTGTATATATCAACAAACTACATTTCCATTTTCAGCAAAATAGGCTACTGACAAAATATTACAAAGAGTAAACCTATTTTTTTCAAAGAAGATATTCAGAGAGTAAATCTTTTTTTTTTTTCTTTAACATTTGTTATCTGTCAGGTCAATATCTTCACCAATCCATTTTGCACAAAAGCTTACATAAGTGACCTTTTAAAAATATTGCCCTAAACTAGATGCCAAAGCTTCAGATACATTATTTTATGTGATTTTCATGAAGAAAAAACTTTAAGATGAGTTCAAGAAATCTGTTTTAATAAAACATGCTGTCACCACTCAGTTGTCACTTTCATGGTGGTAGATTAATCGTTTTTAAATTATATACCAGGGACAAGTCGTTTAACCTCTGAGTTTCCTCCCCTATTAAGGGGGATTAACGATGGTGCCTCATCACGGGATTCCTAGCAGGATTAGAGGAAATAATACAGCTGAAGCATTTACAACGTGCCCAGGATAGAGTGCGCTCAGGAAGGGTTAGCTATGCTTTACCTACTTGTATTTGTCTCCCTCTTCGATTAACTTCTAGTTACCGATCCTTAAGGGATCTTAATTCTTTTAAAGGAAAAGAAAGCCACATCATGACATTCTCAATGCTTTGCCCATCCCTATTCACAGGCAAAATAGGACATAGGGTCTCACTGAATAATCATTCCAAATTTTATTTTAAAAGACAGCACTCTCCCTATTATCTCACTATTACTCATTAGTTACTCACTAGTACTCATTAATTCATTCAAAATGCTAATGTATACGATGTGCTAGACATTGGATACACTGGCTATAAACTGGGTGAGAAAAAAATTCCAGATATATTGCTCAAAAATAGCGAGGGATACAAACACAAGTGCATATTGCTGTTTAATTGTAATGTGGTACACTGAATGCTATAATAAAAAAATTTTCCAAGATCTCCAAGGGAGGGCTTCACAGGTGTGTCTGAGCAAGACTTGGAAGAGCAGACGATCACGAGGTGGAGAAAGAATCTTTGATCATTTTATTCAGAAAGAGACTGAAGATTCCTCACAGTGCTAAGTTAAAAGAGACAGTTTAAGCAAATGGACTTCCTCAAACAGCTTTCCCATTGCACAGTTTGCTTATTTTATCTTCAGAGCTGAATAAATATTTTTGAATGACTGTCGTCCCCACCCATGGCGAGGCCTTCATTGTGACGTACTTGGATGATGTTCTTAGCTCGGTCCTCCCAGAGCTCAGCAAGATCTTCCTAGAACCACTTTTATGACACAGCTCCCTGATCAAAAACCTGCAAGTTTCCTCCTGTTCCCAGCTATCAGCCCTGTGCTTTGGGAGATTTCTCTCCCAGTATGCCCTGGGCATGTCTCCCTTTTGTTTCTATCCTCTCTCTGCCTCAATGCGGTTCTCCTACTACTTCTCTTTGCCTCTCCAAAATTCTACCCACCACTTCAACATCCTCCTTCAGGAAGCCATCAGATTCCCTTGCTTCTATATAAGACAACAGAATTTCACAAATGCTGCAGCAAAGAGTGAAACGCTAGTGGAAAAATTATACTTGGGGATGAAAGACATTTCCAAAATATGGTTGAGAATTAAAAAACGTAAGGCAGACACACATTTGAAAGTTACATTCAATTGTTACACCAACAAAGCACTCTTCTTAAATTATTTATCATTCAAAATTTACATATACCGCACCAACTACTTATTGAACAATTATTTGTCCAATGACATGGTGCTCTTTTAAAACGTTAACCAACCCACAACACTGGCTTCTTTAGGACAAGTTCATATTAGAATCGAAGGTGCCACTGGATCTAGAACTTTAGATCTTACAACATGGAACTACACTAACTAGTATAGTAGTGTGCTTCCTACTTGGAGCACTCGTTAAACAGCTGAAAATTTGAAACAACTAGTTAAATAACAAATATCCTCAAAATGCCAAGTTAAAAGACTTTCTCAAGTGATAATGAGCCTGCTCTACATGTCAATACCTTAGATTCCAACTTGATTTTCTCTTCATTCAGTTCCTCTGTTGCTTTCTTAATTTTTCCACGACATCTGCTTATTTCCGACCTTACTGTAAAACAAATTAAATCTTTAAACACATCACTCTTTCTCAAGTCCCCATGCTGCAGGCTGTGATAAGACGCCTTTCAGCTGCCTTGCCCTCGACGGGGAAAGCAGGCGCCCGGAGCTGCTCTGACCGCTGTCTTCTGGATTTCCTCCCGCCCCAAGCCCCGCACCGGGAAGACGAGAGGCCCCCTGGCAAGCGGCCGACGCGCCCACCTTCGCGCATCCGGCGGCGACCCTCCTCGGCCTGATGCTCGGAGAAGACGATGTGCTGAAACAAGGACTCCAGATTCATCTTGGGGCCGGGCTCCCGCCGATCCTTTTTCCGCTCTTAAATATTTAATAACCAAGCCTGAGGATCCTGGAAAGCACAATAAAGAGGAAGGATTGTTCCAGGGCGATCCCCAGGTCGGCCTCCCGTCCCTGCCCACACCGGGGACCACGCGCGACCCCGGGCGCCTTCCCGGCCGGCAGCGGCGCTCTCGGCCTTCGTCTGCTCTGTCACCAGGGCCACACCGTTTCTTCGCCCTCCTTGCGCCTGGGACAACAGTTTCCCACTCTGCCTCTCCCTGGCTGAGTGCAGCTCCCCTCGGACGAGGCCTGGGCCCCTCTCCGGGTTTCCTCGTTCGGGTGGCAAATAAAAATGGACGCCCTAGGCCTTGGCGTCGAGCGGGTGTGGCCAGCAGCCCTTTCTGTGGTCAGCCTCTTCCTCTTAGCCGCCTCTGTTTTTAGACATAAAGTCCCCAAAGCGCTCTGTCTCTCAGCAAAACGTGCACCTGCTAACAGTACTGCGAGCTGGAGACCTTCTCGAAGGTGGCGGCCCACGCCTCCGGTCGGCCTCGCCCGGGGGGGGGGGGGGGGGGGGGGGGGGGAACTTTAAATCTACGGCATCCGGTTGAGCCCATTCCCATTCCGCGTTCAGGTGTTTTGCTGTGGCCGTGTGGCCCCCAAAGGTCTCAGGCCTTGCTTGGCGTTGGGGTGATCTATCTCCAAGGCACAAACACCCAGGATTATAAAGTACAGAGTACTCATGATTCTAAATATAAACTTTGGAAAGTCTTATCCTTTGCGTATGGCAGAGGCTGCTATAAATGTGCAATGTCTGACATTCCATCTTAATCATTCCTTTGTAATCAGGGCATATCTTTTTTGTCTGCTTTAAAATTAATCATTGCCTTTTGTAATCAAGCTACAGTAATATTAACACTTCAATAGCTGCGCAATATGTGTCAGAGACCAACGTGGTTGCTAATTAAAGCTTAATCATGAAAGGCACCTTTGGGACTTCTGCATGGAATTTTTTAAATTAAAAAATAAAATATTTTTAGTTTTAGTAGGTCAAAATATTAAGATTATAATAAACACGACTTTATTTTTGACTGTTAAATTGACATTGGCTAAACTTTAAAAAGTAATTTCTAGTTAGTTACTTCTAATGTATTTAGAAGTAAGCAAAAGAAGGTAAATGCAAATTCTGTCACATCATCTGTATAATAGAATTAATTAATATTTCATTAATGCTGTAGTATAATTGGTTATAAATTTTAACCTTTTGCAGATTTCCACCTTAATTTCCATGAAGCCATGTATGCATAAAACTTAATTCTTAAACTTTGTTATAAAAGGATACATATTGAAAAGTGTAATGAAGTAGAAGAGAATTGCCCAAACATATCATTCAGAAGCAATATTAATAACATTTTGGTTATTGCCTTCCAGGTTATCTTCCTCATCTTGCATTTTTCCTTTATAAACTTGAAAATATCGTGAATAAGTAATAGTAATAGTTATTATTTTTTATTGAGTATTGGCCAGGCACTATCCCAAACACTACATATCTTCTTAAGATGATTTTTACTATTACCTTCATAGTATAGTTGAGGAAACTGAGGCACAGAACAGTTATGTATCTTGCCACCCTTGCATATCTAGTATATGGCAGAGTGAGATCTGAAACCAAGAAATCTGAGATCAGAGGCCATGAATTTAATTTTGAATTCTGCTCCTTTTCCCGCTTTTTATGTCACAAGTATTTTATTGAAAAGTATTTCATTGAAAACTCTCCCTAAATATATTTTTATAATTTCATAATCCTCCATCATACAGATGCACATGTAAAATTTAGGTATACTGAAATAAATTTGATTCGTTTATCTGTTTAAGGATGGAAACAAAGCTGAAATTGTGGTTTGGATCATTTTCTTTGAGGACTCATTTGAAAGCTTGTGAACTGTGCCATAGCGGCCATCAAAGGAAAGGGCCTCCAGAAGATAAATTATATTACTAATTAATATCACTCCCTTCAGAATTATTTCTGTAGACTTACCCAGGGAGTGCCCTCACAAGGAGGCTGGTTTTCAAAAGCATGCTGCTCTTTAACATTCCAGTTTTATTAGTTACACTCAAACTCACATTTATTATTTACCATGCTCTTTCTGTACTGAAACTTGGCGGAGGGAAATTTGGGCAGCCTTTAGGGAGCCCAGTCGCCTCACTCACGCAGGAGTATGGAAGACAGAGCTGCTGGAAATTCTGGGAAGGAGAAATGGCTTCTTCATCTTCTGCACCTCCCAGAATATTTTGGTGCTTTTAAATCCCAAGTTTGAGTCTTCTTAGAGTTACCACAAGTGTAGCCATGAGCAGGTTTTTTGTTTTATTTTATTTGTTGAAGCAAACCTGATTATGCAAGCCCACAATTCAAATTTTAAAAGTTTCATAATAATGAGTAAAATTAACATACTAAAATATTGCTATTGTGTATCTAGCTTTATTCATACATTTTCAGCATGTATATCTATATATAGATATACATGCTGATTACATTCTATAATGTTAGAGCAAGAGTAGCATTACTTAAATTTATGCCAAATAAAAATGGCAGACAGCATGGTAAAACTAGAGCATGCTATTTTCTGAAAAATGTATCTTATAAGTCTAAAAAAAGGAAATGATTCATTCAACAACTGCTTAATGAGTCTCTGGTAGTCATTCAACATTCATTCAACAAATATTATTGAGCATCTCCTATGTGCCATATTAGAGAAACAACAAGAGGGTTTAATAAAAACAGAACTACATAAAAAGGATTTTTCTTCCCCCGGATATTTCTAACCTCATTGGAGAATTATTATATTTTTCAGCATTTTGGCAGCAGTATAAACAACTGCTTTCAGATGTTTCAACAGATGTTCTTCAGAAAGAAAGCCAATTATTTGCGTTATGATATCCACGTATGATTCTCAGATCTCAACTTTCCATCTGTACATGTTCCACTGAATTGCATACCCATGAAATATAAAAGTTAAGATCGTTCATTGTCTGTCAACCTCAGACTTTTACTCATAATAACACTAGCACCTGGGTTATTGAGCATTCGATAATTGCTTTGCTAGAAGGCCTTATATAAGGCTATATTGCTCTTGTGATTTAAAATGTATTTCCTCTCCTTTCTTAGATTGATGACTTCCCTAAGTTCTAAACCAGGCTTGCAAATACCCACTAGAGCCCACGGCATATATATTGCAATGAAAAGAAGAAAAGTAATTCATTTATTTTATGTTTTTCTTAAGACATCTGCCCCCAAAAAATGCAGGGTTCAACCAAGTTTAACAACCATTTATTGAGTATCTACTTAGGGTAAAAATCTCTACTAAGTACTATGGAGGATACAAAATTGAAAGATACTGGCCCTGCCCTCCTGGAGGTCATAATCCATCAAATGGGACACAGCGTGCACAATAACTCCTAGGCAGGCCGTGTACAAGAGCTTCACCCTTGTGCTATGAGAATATGGCAGAGGGAGAAAGAATAAGCCTGACGTGGGTGATCTGGGAAGTCTTATCAGTAAGGAATAAAATATGAGCTGGATTTTAAAGGAGGATGGGACTTTAACAGATAGAGATTAAAGGAGAAAAAAGCGGAAAGTTAGATACGGCCAACGTTTGGCCAGTGTTTAACATTTTTGTATATACAATGGACGACCATGTAATGTTTTCTAGCAGGTGAGTGGCATGTCAGAGTTGCTTTATGCAGGCAATCTGTGGCAATGGGCTAGAAACATTAAAAAGAAAGAGACTAATAGCTAACATGTGTTATTAACTTGCTATGTGCCAACCATTGTCTGAGACCATGACAGCCCTTAATTCTTTTAATCAACTCAACAACGCTATAAGATCAATGCTTTTACTATTTCCACATTATTATTGGAGAACTTAGGCAGAGAGAGCTAAGTAACTTGTCCAAGGTCACATTTGGTAGCTACAAAGTAGCAGAATCAGGATTTAAGGCAAACTCTCTCTTTTTTTGTGTGTGAGGAAGATTGGCCCTGAGCTAACATCCATTGCCTATCTTCCACTTTTTGCTTGAGGAAGATTGGGCCTGAGCTTAACCTCTGTGCCAATCTTCCTTTGTTTTGTGTGTGGGATGCTGCCACAGCATGGTTTGATGAGAGCGTGCAGGCCCCTGCCCAGGATCCAAACCTGCGAACCCTGGGCCGGTGAAGCAGAGGACACGAACTTAACCACTACACCACCAGGCCAGCCCCAGGGCAAACCCTTAACTGTTTCACTTACTGCCTCCAAAAAACTAGAGGCTAGAGAAAATGAGACTATTTCAGCAGCTGTGTTTCATTTCCAGGCAGATACATTTCCTAAAAAATGCTTGTCACCAACAAATTAATATTTTTTCTGAAGTCATTTTCAGACTTCTAGAATTTGGATTAGTAATGCAATGCATCTGTAATGAATTAAAATCAAATGTGGTCTAAGGAAAAATAATTGAGAATGGACGATGGCTTATTGTAAATGCTTATTTAACCAGCTATATATCTAATATGTAGAACTAAAAATGAAATTCATATATGAAGTATTGTATTAGTTTCTTAATATTTATATTGTTTTCCTAGGGCTGCTATAACAAAGTACCACAACTAGGTGGTCACAGTTCCAGAGGCCAGAAGACTGAAATCAAGGTGTTGGCAGGGTTGGTTCCTGCTGAGCTCTCTGAGGGACAGTCTGTTCTTCGCTTCTTCCTGGCTTCTGGTCCTTGCTGGTGGTCTTTGGCATCCCTTGGCTTGTAGATGCTTCATTCCAATCTCTGCCTCCATGTCCCTTGGAGTTCTCCATCTGTATCTCTGCCTCTTTGTCTCTTTTCCTCTCCTTATAAAGACATCATATGAGATAAAGGGCCTACCCTACTCCAGTATGACTTCATCTTAACTAATTCCATCTGCAACAATCCTATTTCTGAATAAGATCACATTCTCAGCTACCAGGGTGTTAGGATTTCCATGCATCTTTTTGGGGGACACAAGTGGAGCCATAACAGACCTTAAAAGTCAAGTTGTGGGAAATACTTATGAATTTTTTTAAATTTGAAGTTTATTTTTATTATAATCAAAGCATTTTTAGTGGCTTGTTGGACTTTAGAAAACATCTTGCATAATCCTTTTATTTTATAGATGTTAAAACGGAGCAGGTGGACGTTGATGGATTTCCCCAATGTTGCTCAGGCGATTAATGTGAGAGCGAAGTCTAGAACTCCCTCCTAATTCCTTCTGCTCCAGTGAAAGATCTTTTTTGTTCACTAGTGGCTTTCAATTACTTCAGTTAAAACAACTCCTCTTTTATGTTTTTTCTATATTGAACTTTTTAGTAAGAGTTTGAAGAAGGGGTATAATGATTTGGGTACAGAGCTGGCCTGGGGCAATTCATCTACTGCAGGAGCCCCTCCACATTAAGGAGATTAGATAGATAGATGATAGATGATAGATAGATAGAGATATAGCTAGGGACAGAGTCAGAGAGAGGTAGACAGGGAGAGACAGGTA